ATGTGCTGATGATCCAAACAACGATCCTGTGTTTGTTTCCCAAGAGTTGTAATTTTTATTTTGTTGTGTAACAGAAGTCTTATAAAAAGGCTATATCTTTTTGAGTTTATTGTAATCGACTGAAGATATAATGAATTCCATGACAAAACCAACTTTTGACGCAAACAGGGATCTCCTCATCATCTCCTCTATTGGATGAACTTTCGCCAATGTGCATATCATGTACTATGGAGGAACGAACCCACTCATCATCCTCAAACTTGTCCGAGGGAGGGGGGTGGTTCTTCGTACTCAACATATTTATTATTAACATAAGCTTCATCTGGCCAATCCGTATTCTCTTCATCATCTTCACCCACAAATTACATGCTGTCAATTGGTGCACTATCTTCATCTTCACCATTAGAGGCGTCACTTCTTTCATCCTCTTCATATGAAGGTGCACCACTGTGATATTGAAATTGAGTCCATTGTATTTCACTCGAAGAAGAAAGAAAGCCTTCAGACTCAACTCCCAAATCTAACATGCGTGAGAATTCTCCTGGAGGGTTGAATATTTGGCTCGTACTATGTGGCACCGTTTCAATAAACAATTCTATGGTTGGTTTGTGACTTGCTCAAATTAAACAAAATACTCATTGAATGATCGTTTGAGATCTCAACCGCGGACGTTCTATCATAAGTTATCGGCCAATTGCATATTATTTTTAGTCGATACTCTCGTGGGCCAATTGTCGTAACTCAATGCAATTCATTAACCAAGTCAAGGTAACTATATGATTCTGATATCATTAACGGGATTGTCACCCCTCCGACATACATTGACATATTATTCATTCCATAATTAATCGTTCCACCATAAGAGCAAGCAATAAAAATCATATTGTTCAACCTATGTGAAACAAAAGTATATCATTTAAATACAAAAATTTAAAAACTATTATCAATTACAACATAAAACCCCAATTACAACTCTAAACCTCAATTACAACCCTAAACCTCAATTACAACCCTAAAATCTAATTACAACCGTAAACCCCCAAATTCTAAACCTTAAAATTGACCCCCAAGTCCTAAACCTTAAAATTGAGTATTCTGTTAGACCCTAGGGGGGTGATTAGGGTCTTATGCTAATCTAATCCGATTTTATGCCAATTAAAATTAATGGCAAATTATTCTTGCAAGAGAGATATACAATATGTTACAAGCAAGAATAATCAATATGAACAAAGAGCAATATCCTAGCAATGAGATATACTATGAGATATATGCAAGGATATATAATTAACACAAGGGTAAACAATCTAAACTAGATAGTGGGCAATATAATCAACAAGTAATATACAAAAGCGATATAAGATATGAATATAAAAATAAGTGCGCAAATACAATCACAAACAAACGATATGATTACGAAGTTCGATCCTCACGACCTACGTCTCCGCTCCTTACCTTGAGGAGATCTCCACTATCACAACCGGGTTTTTTACGTTTACCCGAACAACATTTACACCTCACAATACGGTTTTCTAGTTTACCGAAAACTCTACAACTAACACACTCTTGTAATCCCACTCTACACCCTCTCAAGTGTTGAACTAGACGTGTCTCCCTCAAGTGCTCGGATACAACCTCTCCCTAGGTTCGTCAACGCCACTCCTCTTGGGACAATCCCCGACTCTCGCCACACACTTCTCTCGGTGTACAAGTGTATTACAACCACTCCTCTTGGGACAATCCCCGACTCTCGCCACACACTTCTCTCGGTGTACAAGTGTATTACAAAGTAATCTCACAATTAAGCACAATACAAAGTGTTTGTTTTCTATAATGGATGAGAACGAATTATAAGCTCACTCTCTAAGTTACACAATCTCACAACCCAATTATACTATGAATGTAAATACAATAAGCTCAATGGTTGTGTGTGTGAAAACAAAGAGAAAATAAAATCAACTAAACTTAATATGAACACTAGCTTAATAAAATGATAATCAAACAATATAAAATATAAAGCTAGATTGAGTTTAGAAAACTTCTCAATAAATCAAGAGTGGAAGGAGAAGAGTTGGATGCTCAAACACCAATAGATGATCTCCTCAAGCTCTTGTGAAATTGATTTCACAAACTCAAACTCTCAAATGCTTAAAAGCTTCTTAAACAAACTTAAACAACACTTCAACCCTTGTTAAAACTTTGTTAAAACATTTCTTGGATTCTTACTGAAAACTGAGGTATAAGAGGGTATTTATAGCCTCACAAAATCTCAGCCAAAACCCCAAAGGAAAAGACCAAAAAACCCAAGAATCAGAAATCTGATTCTGTACCAACACTAGCTGTTGGAGTGAACGACGGTCGCGGGGGAGCCACTTTCGAAGCTGAGAATTTTCCAGAGACTTTGGCGCTCGACCGTGACAGTCGACCATGGGAAAATTCGAGCTGACGGTCGACCGTGGCGGTCGATCGCGAAAGTTTTTGTTTGACTCCGCAGGTAAAAACTCAGGTGCGGTCGACCGTGGCGGTCGACCGCGAACTGATACATGAACAGAACAATTTGAAAGTTGATTTTCTGATTTTAAAACCATGTTTAAAAATATCAAATAAATTCAGAAAAATGTAAAACTTTAGGAAATGATTGTAGACATGATAATACACATGCTACAAAAACTGGTTTTTAAAAAGGACTTTTCAAATGAAAAATATCATCATTTTACAAAATAGTCCAAAACATAAAAATGTGAACACATGAGTTTTGACATTTTAGCTTAACCATGTTTTGAAACATTACAAAATGATTTTGTAGACTTAATAAAAGATGTATATGATTATTGTTAAGTCTATAAATTAAGAAAATAATATTTTCACAAATACAATAGAAAATGAATATTTATAAACATGAAAACTAAAACTTGTGTTATATATATATATATATATATATATATACAAGGAAACCAATAAAATGTGTGTGTATATGATATTGAGCTTAACGTACTAACACACATAATATAAAATCTAAACTAAATTACCCAAGCTATCTTGATCTTCAATAAGCTTGACTTGGTAAACTTGCAGATGAAGCTTAAACTTGGATCTTCAACTTGAATTGTATGGCTTCATTCCACAATTCCGCCAACCTCCATTTGATATGATCGTGAATGCTCGATTCCATCCATCCTCCAACACGTTGTTTGCCTAGAATAAATACAAAAACATAAATACTAGACAAACAATATTAGGAGTAAATTGTTTGTTAAACATCATCAAAACAAGAAGGCCAACAATCTTCCCCTTTTTGATGATAACAAACAATTTACAAATGGATATATGCATGAAAGAAAATAAATATATAAATTATAATTCACATGCATATAAACAAGAAAGAATATACTCACAATATTTCTCCCCTTTAACAACATCAAATATGGGACAAAGGGATGAAGAGAGCGAAGGCTCCCCCTATCAATATGCATGGGTGAGTATAACACATAGAAAGATATAAGGATTGCTCCTCCTATCAAAATGCCTTAATGAATATATGCAATGAATGCTAAGGCATACATATGTGAGCAAGCAAGAAACATGCTAAACACAACTCACATACAAAAAGACAATGAGAACACATATAAATATGTCAAAATGAAAATAGTATCTCATTAACACAAAAAAATATAAAAGCCATATAAAAGAATAGATTTATGAAAACAAAAGAAGAGGAACATGAGAATCATGCAAAAAGTTTTCAAATAAAAACGAATCAACCAAAAGAAATCATAAATCAAAGTTTATATTCAAAAACAATGTTTGATCAATAAATAGAACTTTCTTTGTAGAACTTGATCAAACCACATATAGAATGCATTATAAGGCACACATAGATGATCCATAAGCACAAACACATAAATATCATCATATAAGTGAAGTATAATGAATTCAAAGAAACAAATCAAAACAAAATCTTTGATAAAAGAATTTTAAGAGAGGCAACAATATATAAAGTTCTTAAGCTTGTTCCAACCCATATAATCATTCTAGCATCTGGTAAACATGATTTGGGAATAAACACCCAATAAACCCGGATAGTTATATAAACACAAACCTCTCATCAAAATCAAAACTAATAATCATGACAACAAAAGAATTTGATCAATAAAAAAATTGTTTTCATGTTCAAAAGTTAAAAGTATAATTTTTCAAAACCAAAAAAAAAAAACACTAAAATTCTTGGTTTAAGAAAAATTATTTTGGCACCCAAACATTCTTGGTGCCGGATCATTTAGGGACATGACCTCTATCATTTAAGCTCAAAGCCCTAGGGTTATGAACCCGTTTGGGCACATATGGTGCACTAGCACGGTCAAAACAAAAATTATACACATGACCTTTCCGATTGCAATAGGTGCAATGAAGAGGTTTAAATGATTTGTGTTGACCAAGTGGGCGTGATTTGTGTTGACCAAGTGGGCGTGCACGGGAATCATTTGCAAATAAAGATTTTTTTTTAAAATTATATCGCAAATGAGAAACATCTTTAAACAAAGGTGGTGGTTTATTTGAGAAAGGACAAAACAAATTCTTATCGGATCAGGATCTCGATATAGACCCGTACCCGGCCTCTTTAAAGCCCTTATTAATTCCACCAGTTCTCATCTTAAGCAGCACGCTGACAGTTCACCCTCACCTAATCACTTCCGCCAGAACACCGACCTTTACTTGCTCAGTCGGTCCAGCAAATAAACCCTGAAGAAAGGACAACGGAACGGCACCGGAGACGGTCCACAGATATAAGGGCGCGGCTGACACCGACACGTGTCGGTCGTTTAGTAACCTCTGGAGTTCGAAATCCCCGTCTTCGGAGCCGCCAAATCCAACGCTTACTCCATTCACCGGTTCCTCATCGAAACCAAAAATAAAAAGAAAAAGTAAAAGAGGGGAAAAAAAGGGAAAACAGAAAAAAAAAAAAAAAAGGAAAAAAAGGGGGGAAAAAAAGGGAAAAAAAAAAAAAAAAAAAAAAAGGAAAAGGGCGGTGAAAGAAAAAAGAGAGAAGAAATAAAGAAGAATAAGGGTGAAGATTATAAGAGAAGCTAGAGATTTTATCGCGATTTTTTCTCGAGAATGATCTCTTTGATAGCGAGAGATCCGAGTCCGAGCTCCGATTTCGGTTGAATGAGGGCGATATTTCGTGAGTTTTTCCATGTTTCTATAGTTTGTTTCTTATTTCTAGGTTTTTAATTGGGATAATTGTTTGATGCATTAGATTTTGTTTTTCGTTTGATTTTGGTGTTTCTAGGGTTTATGTGGAGCGTGGCTGCAGACTTGCCCCGATCTGTCAAACATTTTGAGAGGTAAGGGATCCGATTGATTTTTTTATTGGGATTGATTGAATGCTAGGGTTTCGTGATTAATATATTTTATCAGTGCTGCTAGGGTTTTAGATGAAATTGTTCGATTTAGATGCTAATTTTCATGGAGAAATACTGAGATATGTTGATCTTGGCAATAATTTTTTGAGATAATCTTAGTTGTTACTTACATATGGATTACTTCAGTGCATCTTGCACTGGGTATTTGGGTTGAATTGAAAGGATTGCTCTGCAACTTGATGTGTAAACAAGAAAACTAGCGGTTGGCAATATCCTGTCTGAAATTTCATGTTACTAAATATTATACGTCAACGACTCTATTGAGAATTTTTTTGATGCAATAACCTTTTGCAATGAATAATCTTCTGTAATGAATAGTTCTCACCCCCTTTTCTCAACGATGGTTTGCTTGTCACTGTGAGGTCTTTTCTTCTTGTTCGATGTCGCTGCAAGAGTGAAATGTTGTTAGCTGTGGTACTATGTTAACACTTGATATTTTATTTATATTTATTTATTTGCAATTTCAGCTCCTCGGAGCTTCTCATTAATACATTATCAGGGGCTATTGGATAGATCATATTTATGTTATTCTAATGTTAGCTACACTTTGAATATGTCTGTGATATACTACCAGTGAAGTTAGTAGCCCGTCCCTCCCTAAGTTGCATGGTCTTCTTCTTGAATTTATCAACAACTCTATGCTGAGGTCTCCTCTTGGCAACTATTAGCTACATGTTGAATATGCCTGTTGATTTTAATTTACAGAAACACTTCAGTTTCTTAGAGTAGAAATGATCATCCTGCTTTCCTGCTTTCATTATCCTTGACCTGGATAATCGATCATGCAGTGTCCTACAAATTTCATTGCTTATCAATTCCGTTATTAGCATAGTTGGTTTCTTACTCATGCATGTTGCATGACTGTTTCCCAGGTTTCATTTTACCTCTAGAATTTCTGCAACGCGTTTCTTAATCTTAAGATGAAACCAAAAGCAAATGGGAGTATACAGAGAGCTCAAAGAGTGAAGCATGTTCAAGGAGAAGGGCCAAATTGGGTTCTTATTGCAGGTGGTGCATTGTTAAGTACTTTGTCATTTAGGATTGGGTGCAGACTGAAGCAGGCTTTTGATGCAAAAAGATCAAATAATGCCCATAATACATTGAAAGGTCTCAGTATTTGCTGTTTATTAAGCCATTCTGTTCTTCTTTTAACTGCATCTTCTAACTTATCAGCTATCACAATGCAGAAAATGGAAACTGTGTAGCTCAGAGGAGACCTGCAACTTGCAAGTTGCATTCAAATTCATATTGCTATACTCAGGAAGAGGATGATGGGTGTTACCACTGTCTCTCAGGTAGAGTGTTTTGGATCCATGTCTTGGTTCTTGCTTCAGAAATTGCTTCTACAGAATTTAGTTATTTGTTTGGTCCTGCTCTCGCTGTCATTCTCTCCTTGGGATTGACATGAAATTATTCTCTGAATTTTCTTTTCTCTGCAGTTTAAAGACTTGGAATATTTAATTACTTAGTCTTTATGGTTTTGATATTCAAGCGAAACATACTCAATACATTTTCAAGGTGATTGGTAGGTATTAATCTATTTCATATTATATTTGAGAATTTACTTGGTTGGTATGTGATGTCTTTTATATTATATTAGACAAACCAATTACAACCAACAACGTCATTTGGGACTCTTGTGTAATTGACAAATATAGTCTTTTTCATCCTTTAAGGATGAAATGTGAAGGATGGTTTCTGTTTTCATGTTCAAACTTGAAAATTTTCCTTAAATTTGAATTCTCAAGTGAAAGGCCAGTTAACAATTTAAGGATGGTTTCTGTTTTCATGTTCAAAACTCATATCTGTGGCTAACTCAAATCGTCTTATAAAGAATAAAATAATCTAATGAAGCTTATCAATAATATTTGATTTAGCATACTATAGGAAGCTGTACTTTTAAAGAGAAATTTAGATATAAGTAAATTAAAGGAATCTTTGTGGTCACCGTGTGATTGCCAGAAGCACTTGATGGAGTGTAGATAAAAGATGCAAGACGTTACATACTTGCATCATACTATGAAAGTCAGGTGGCCTATATTGTTGAGGTGGACATTTTCCATAGATACGAAAATAGTATTCAATATGATTGGAGATATCTAAGTGTCATTTGTATAATTCAGATGTTATCATGACGTTTATGACTGCAGTAAAGGTGCCAGGTCAAACATGGAAGTTGGAACTCATAGAAGTTAGAATTGAAGGTATATGCATGTACAAGTTTCTTGCAGGAGGACTTGGAGGATGGTATCATGGGATACCTACAGAAGATTATGTAATGCATATTATTATCACATAATTGTAGCCATAGTAATGAATGGTGAACATAATCAGACCACTCCATCTCTTAGGAGTTAACCTACCTGTCTGTTTAGCAATGTCTAAATGATGTTAGGCTATCTTATGAGTCCAAAATGTCATTAAACTTATTGCACATAATATGTAAATTAAGCTATGTATATTATTATATATTATTCTTGCAGAGCGTCTTCTGAAAGTCCTAAGATTCCTTCAATCCTGACGTGATCAGTTTATCACATATTATGATAAGTATCTAATTACCAGATGAAAATGTATTCATTTTTTTCATTTACTATTGAAATAAGCCCATCTTCATTTGTTTCTTTAAGTTCTCAGAAGGGTAAAATTGGTAGTCCTTTCATTTTTGTTCCCATCTATTCAATATCAGCACCTTGTCTGCTGATACTTAAAGACATTAGCTCTCTGCCTCCATTCTCTCGCATTTGACTCTCTACTGTTTAGCTGTTCATATGTGACCCTTTAAGCGTGGATGCTCACAAGTCTTTCTTATCTCTACTTTTTGCCTGCTAAATCAGAGTCTCTCTTATCTCACTTATGGAAGTTATCTGCTTTTCTCTCTCTTAATGATCCACTCTCCTATATCTCCCTCACATTTCCTCTCCCCACTCAATTTTCGGAAGATGAACCCAATCCAGTATGTTTAATCAATTAAGTTTCTAACTCCATCAATTGCAGATTTGCATCCAACTCTAGCTTATTCATTGTATGTTACTTGCATGATTGCATCCCATAACGTAGTTCGCTGCCAAGAGGCTGGCTTCCTGTGGTGATCGGATATGAGGCATTAAGCCATAGGCAATCCTACACCCATAAGAATTCAACAAGGCCTGGGAGTTCTTGAAGTCTGCTTTATTAGCTAACATCTAGGTAGCACAGACATGGGTGTGGACATGTACACGGACTCGGATATGGACACGGGACACAACAAATTTGTAAAATGTAGGATATGGGGACACGGCTATATATATGTGTGTATAAATTTTACATTAGATCAAATATTGAATTAAAATATGTATACCATTTGTATGTTTCTTTCTATTATCTATACCAATTAAGAATCAAGTTAAATAAAACTAAGGATAAAGTTTAGTTTTGATCGCATAGGATAATACAATGAGTATTTTTTAAATATTTAAATAATGAGTGTCAGTTTTCGGTTTAAGAAACAGATTGAGTTTGTACTCGATATTATGAAAGCAACTAGTTTAGAGTATAAGTAATGGGGAAAACAGATTTTGCTTTGAACTACACGTGTCCATGGCGTGTCCGTGGAGTGTCGGACATGGGCGCCGCCCATGTCCGAGTAACCTAAGCTAACATTTGATTGTCTTTATCACATTTGATTGTCTTTATCTGTTGTTGATAGAATATTATTGGAACATAAACATGTGTGAGAATACAAGTGTCACATGCTAATGCAACCATTTCTATTGTGCAAGATGGTTTCTGCTGATTGAAGCTTGATCTCTCGAGTTTCAAATATTGAATAACAAAATCGAAAGACTTCTCATTGGTAAGTACTAAGTAAGCATGGTTCTCAAGATTGAATCATGTTGAATACCTTCATCTATGCCAGATCGGATCTGATCAGTAGGATATTGAGATATTATTTTCCTTAAAATAATGTCATAAGAGTTGATAAGTGAATCAAATAGAAAAAATTCACCGTTGATTGTTGAAATGAGGAGGAGGAACCCCGGGATACTGTATGTCGAATCCACTATCTGACTTTTGACTTCTTATGTTTTGCTACGTGAATTATTTGTTTACTTTGATGCATAACTTAAATATCCACAATCCTTTATGCCTCATGGTGTCCAACCAATGATGTAACGATCCATGTGTTTGCATTTTCTTGCTCAATCAGAGATTGATGAAAACTGACTCAGATAGAGCTAAAGTTAAGGTGTAACTATTTTGAGGGATTTTTTGGTAATTTATTACAATCAAAACATTGCAACTAAAATTGTTTGGTAAAATATGCTGAAATATTTTGCCTTTAGGCCATTTGACCGAAACATTTCAAGTCAAGATCCTTTTGTTTCTCTTCTTTGCTTGGCGTATGTGTTGTTCAGTTCCTTTTGCGCGCGTCTTAGTAAGCTTGTGCCCATTTTTTAGATACAAGAAGGCTTTGCAGAAAGCCCGTTGCTCCCCTAAGTATTTACCCAGTATTATGCACACATACAAAGGGATATATCGCACGATCCTTCTATTCTACATTTTTACATTCTAAAATTTGTCATGTCGACAGCTTAGGACACTCAACACTTTGGCACCCACGTCTAGAGTCTGGGCAGTGGGTAACCTTACTCAATTTACTTTCCATGACTTTTTTCCTACTTACCTGTAAATATTCACTTTAGCCATTTATACATTTATGTTCTATTGTTTGTTTTCCATTGTACTTTTTCCAATAATTGCCATTTTGATGTTCATGAAGCTTAGTTTCATAACTAGGAAATTGATGTTTTGCTAACCTCATGGGCAACTCTTATTTGCTTACTCCAATTTGTAGCCTTTGGATTTGTGTGCTTTATCATTCTCAATTATTTGCTGATAGAACAAGTCATGTCAAAAGGGAACTTTTAAGCAATAAACCTTATAAGGGAAAATTCTTAGATTTCTTATATCTAATGGATGATGGCAAAACTACAGTTTGTATGGGTTATGAATCTCGTCAAAATGGTTTTAGGAAAGGAAAAATACAGCTTGTAATCAAGCTTTAGTTAGCTTAAGCATTCATCTCTTTTTAGTATTGTAGATGAATGTGGGCACTCAAAAATGCCAAAAGGGAAACGAGGGTCGCACCTCATTGCAAATAGGTGAGGGTCATTATCAGGGCACCTCGTCTCGTCAATGAAGATGAATGTTATTCAGAAGCTCAACTGGAAGCATTGAAGCTCATTGTCAAGGACGAAGTTCGAAACTCGTCGTTGGAAACGAGGATTGAAGGTCGTCAAACATCGAAGTTTGTTAGTGAAGACGAAGCTTGTCAAAGGAAGTTCACAAGACTTGCTAGGCAATTGGACTCAGCTATTGAAGACGAAGTTCACCAGTGAAGACGAAGCTTGTCAGACGAAATCAGTGAAGACAAAGTTCGTCAAGAGAAAATTGCCATATTGTGAAGCTTGCCTTATTAGACGAACCTCGCTGCGTATCGAGGTTCGTCTAATCTGACAACCTCGCCACACAGCGAGGCTCGTCATCCACACAAAGTTCGGTTGTAACGGTCACGAGGACCAAGTCAGCCCACGTGGGTTAAATTGCAGGAGGCCGTTACGTCCATCTACCCACTATTTCAGCACGTTAGTTACGTGCTAATGGCTTATAAATAGCCCCAAGCAACTACGAAAAAGCCATCGTGAGCATAGGCGCAAGAAACCAAGGTTAGCACTCACGTTCTTTGAAGACCCGAACCTCGGTTCTAGCCATTGAAGCCATCAACAGAGGTTGATTCCTCTTTCGAGTTGAAGCGATCTTGATCTGATTGTCAACGGGAAGCAAACTCGACTTGAGTATCGAGTGAGACATCCTTTCGTCACCTAAAACCCGTGTTAAACAAAAGAGAGGTCAAATTAATCTTCTCTTCCTCTATACTCGAGAGAGAGCGATTGTAAGGGATTCTTACCAAGTGAGAGAATCCATTCTTAAAATAAGAATCAATCGTATATTTCTTTTTCAACCCTACAATGAAGAAATAAGAATCTTTGGATCAGTTGTTCAGTTGATGTTTTTATAAGCACTAGTGCGCTACTAACTCACACATAGTAGTCAAAATCTCAATTGTTGAGAACACAGTCTACAAATTCTCTGGCAAAATGGGTGACATTTCTTGTTATACTTAAGCTGAAATATTACGTCCTCAAGTCATTAGTTCAAGCAGATTCTAGGTTTACCATGCTGATTGCCTTAATATTTCACTTCTGTGAATGTATTCTGGCATAGACTCTTTATTATAATTATGCAAAATATTGCGGTGTAGGCATTTTAATGCTCGACACAAAAAAAAAGGAAAAAGCAATAATGAAAATAAAATAAATCGATAAATAACAATAAAAATAAAAATAAATGTGCAAGAAAAAAAGAATGTGAGAATATTTTGAGTCTGCTTTTCCTCACTATATGAGAAATTCTTATGTTACTTATAAGCTAATCTCATTACAGGGAACTTAAATGGTGAAACGAACATCAAGCATTCACCCTCAAGCCCAATGTCTAAAGATGGAGATCATTCCCTTCCACTCGTAAAAATCCCGACAGCAGAATCACATAAAGATGGCAATGGTGTTATGTGGGCATCATCACCAGACCGTCTCGAACTTCCTCGGAAGCCATTTCACCGTTCAAACAGTTCAGACTCGCCTTCTTTCTCGGAGTCGGGGTCAGATATCTACAGCAAGCGAGAGGTAATACAAAAGCTCCGGCAGCAGCTTAAGAGACGGGATGAAATGATACTGGAGATGCAAACCCAGATCTTGGACCTACAGACTTCTCTAAGTGCCCAAATGACCCATTCAGCACATCTTCAAACTCAGGTTGATTGTTCCAACCGTGAATTGTTCGATTCGGAGAGAGAGATCCAACGGCTAAGAAAGGTCATTGCTGATCATTGTGTAGCAGAAGCTGCCTCCCCTGAAAGAACTGGAACCAACAACAGAAATTGGCAGCCTGAATCAGTTAATGGGGGAGTGAATGGATATCTCAACAATGGAGATGTTGAGCTGCACTGTGTTGGTCTTGAGAAGGGAAGAGGAGATGCAGAGAAGGTTGATATGTTGAAAAGAGAAGTCGGGGAACTGAAAGAGGTGATAGAAGGAAAGGAGTTCTTGCTTCAGAGCTACAAGGAACAAAAGGTAGAACTGAGTTCAAAGGTGAAGGAGCTGCAACAAAAACTTGCTCTACAGGTACCAAATATTTTGTAGCAGAAATTCTCAGAGTAGTTATTCTTGTTTAGTTGTCATTCCACAATGAGAGCTGTTTTTTTTCGTGTTGCTGTGATTTTCTATTTGTTGTATAGTTTCTGGAGTATGGTTTTGGCACCTCCATGTCAACATGTCAGAATCTAGTGAAGGCTTGTTAAAAAAATGTAGAACTGATATGGATAGTGCCTGGGGTTTTGAATGCAGGACTCATATGAAGTTGTTTGATGGTACTTCATGGTTTGATGTATGTTTATGGTTGGTAACCGAGAATTGTGTAGTTGCCGCATCAACCATGTGGTTCGAATCAAAGAAGTAGTTAGGGAAATTGGCTCGTTTAATAAAGTTTTTATGCGGCTTTGATGTATTTTTCTGGCGGGCGATGCACAATTTTTTTTGCGCGTTATGTTTTATCATGTTCATCTGTCCAAAACCTGATAGTGGTATGGACATACTGTGAGAAAATGATTACTGTTTTGGTTGTATGACACGAAGCTCGTAGGTGATCTTGGGTTGAGATGCTGTTAGCGAAGATAAGTGACATAAATGCATGGTGGTATGGACGTGCTGTAAGAAAGTGATTACTGTTTCGGTTGTATGACACCAAGCTCATATCATAGGTGATCTTGGGAGCTCAACAATCGATTGACAACAATACGTTTAAGTTCACCCATGAATCTGTATGAAATTCTGCTGTAAGCATAGTCGCAAATTAAGAATTCAGAAATGGTTCAACCGAGGTCCGAGGTAAGAGGCTCAGATGGCTTTTAGTTGCAAGCTTCGAATCCTGCAGGGAAAATATCCAAATATTCTGAGTATTCAAGCATACGGAGGATTCAGTGACGGTATGACATCATCTACCATACGCGAGAAGTATTATCAACTAGATTTGATACCGCAGATTACTCGTCTGCAAATAGTGACTAGTTTCTTGCTAATATTAACTTGTCAAGCTCTTTAGTTCACTTCATTGAAAAGCACGCATAAGCTGCTGTCAAATTATTCATAAGCCAGGTTACAGATTCCCCGCTACATATAAAATCTTCCTCTGCAACTTTCTAAAGAGTCGAAACAACTTCACCATCTAATGCTCGCTGAAGCGTACCAAAAAATCCCTGATGAATTACAGCATTTTCATGGTTCCAACTAGTCACAGACAACTTCAAATGATGAATAATGAAGCTACTACTCTGGTTTGCGACATGTAATGATTGCAAACTTGATTAGGTTCTTGTTGTAGCCCTCAATCATCCGAGGCATCGCAAATGCTCCTCTTATGGTTTTCCATCCTAAAAAAAGAACAAATATTTAACTATGACATCCTTGTGATAACCAAAAGCTATATTATCAGCTATTATACTTAAAAAACATCTCACCACATTGCATCAAAGAAGTGAATCCTCGCCAGGTTAAAGCAGATTTGATGACCGCAGGCCAGAAAGGCGCTACATTCTCTGACCAGTCAGCTGTCATAACATCCTACGAATAACCGAAACAAGTTTCTACTCATTAGTTTTGTTTCTAGAAATATATAAATAAAAAGACAGTGCTACCCACTAAAATTTACCTGGAGATTTAAGGATTGAGCAATTTTTACATAATCAGCAGCTGAACACCAATCTGGGAGGTAGTATGCGCTACATATTTTATTTAGGAGGTTCTTCTCCTCCGGCTTCAGAGAGACTTCGTCAGGGGAGAGATCTCTGTGGCACCATGTTACTATTATTATCGTAGCCCCAGGAGCGGCAACGCGTGCCAATTCGCTAACAAACTGAAGAAACCAACAACAATCGCATTAGTCAAATGATTGCCCATCGAAATCTGTATTGGTTTAGAATACAGAAATTTGTCTTGTATATATCATGGAACAGTTTGGTATAATTGCAGATAAATATTGGTCGTTTAAGAATCACCTGATGTATTATTACCTACTTTTACGCATTAAAGGGGGGAACTCTTGACAGTATATGGCCGACAATTAAGTTTAAACTTTAAACAACAGATGCTTTAAATTGAAAATGATTGAGCATAACCTAGTATCTTATGAGTAACTTTTAATATCTTTGCTCATGCATATATCAACTATCAAATTACCTTCGTCTTATCGGGCATATGCTCGCCGCTTTCCATGGACCATATCAGATCAAATTCCCCATCTGCGAAGGGTTGGTTTAATGCATCTGCAACTTGGAAGGACACCTGAAAATGGTCTTTGTTAAATATGATAATATGCATATTCTGTATGCGCAGTCAGTTTTCCTTTTGTTGACTTCCTATAGGAATAGGTTTCCTTTTATAGAAGATTTCGTTTAGACGGCCTAATGCATATGTTATGATTTGTCTCGAATGAGAAATGATCATTGAGGAAGTAATTCTCTCACTGCAACAAGTGACAGTGGGGAGGGCTCAAAGTCCTGACTTGATGTTGTAAAGAACAGATATGCTATCCCCAAAAGGAACTGAACAAATAAATCAAGGGGCTAAATAGCACTTAAATACCTTATAGCTTCACTGACTTTGCACTTACATACCTTCACTTGTTTTTCACAGCATATGTATACCCTAAGTTGTTTAAAATTAGCATTTTCGTACCCTCAATTATGCAAAAGCGAAAATTTTCACATGAATATTCTAATATGACGCTCAAATGCCGATTGGTTCTAAGTGTCATTTGAGAACATTCGGGTGAAAATTTTCACGTTTGCATAATAGAAGGTTCTAAAGTGCTAATTTTAAACAACTTAGGCCATATTTGTTTTTTATTTCTGCGCTAGCAGATATTGTATTCCCTGGACTATAGTGTTGCGACTGTATAATCCTAGGACAATTTTAGTCCAATCCAATATTTATTTTCATATGGACTAACATTTAGACTAACTTAAAATAGTATTACTGGTGTTTGTTTATAGGAAGATTATGCCACACAGACTAATATTATAATTCAAATGGCCTTTTTGCCTTAATTCTACTAATATTGTTCCGATGCATCTATTTGCCAAAAAAAAAATGTGGGCATGGTCTTGAGCAAAAATAGACATGCTAGCTAGACTAGCAGGCTCAGGTAGTAGAAAGTATACTATACGTAGTCACTTAAATTTGAAAATATAGACTAGATGTCACTGTAATAGTAGTAATCTATAGATGGGAGTTCGAAGACAAGAACCGTGCACTGCCAAATATTTAGCTTTCACAATAATGAACATAAAATTTGAAAGAATGAACTACCTGCTGAAATATTCTAAATTTCAATGCATATGTGCTTATCTGATTATAGTTGAGAGCTGCATACCAAAATATCAATGAGTATGAATGGAATGTTTTCTAATGGTTGGATTGGGCTATCTAGGTAGGAAATATAATTCAAACTCAAATATGATTTCCTGACATTGTCAATGATGAATGCTATCTTGCGGAAAGAATATCGCAAAAACAAATAGCTACTGAAGAAATAAAAGCTGCCGAATTAGAAGCCGTAGAAAATAATTATTATTGCAGCAGAAAAAAGTCTCGCCAAAAAAAAGAATAGCGGAAAACAAAATAGGAGGAAGTTAAAAGGGGTATGCGCGGGCTATTTGTCTTAAAAAATCTTGATCCCTCTAGATAATTAGTAACTGAATTATAAATGTGGGGGCGCAGTGGGTTTAGTTTAGTCCACATTTTCCGTATTAAGTTTTCCTGAAGGTAGGTCCAGACTATTTTAAAATAGTATGCTCACTATAACAACAAACAAACATGATCTTAGGGTATATGCTGCTAAAGACAAGTGAAGGTATATAAGTGCAAAGTCAGTGAAGCTATAAGGTGTTAGCCTGAAGAAAGGGAGTTCATTTTTAGATACTTTGTCAGCTAGCCCCTCAGCAACGGCAAGTGCTTGTGCTCTTTGAGCTTGGACAGGGCTCAAAGTGATGCCACAGCAATCGGCGCCATATTTCTTTGCTAGATACCTAGAGCTTCCACCTATCCCGCATCCAACATCAACAATCTTCTTCGGTTTCTCCGAGGAATCATCTGCATCGAGAAAGCAATAAGCTTGATGGCATTAAATATTAGCGCAATTCGTTGATTCTCAGAAATTTTAGCCAGGAGAACGAAACAAATATTATATTAGTTGATCTAAGTTAACTAATAGCGCAACTGTAACTATAGGTGGAGAAAGTTCACACGTCGAACCCGGACACTATCCTTGAAGAACAATGATCTTACTGAGAAAATTCACAACTTAAACATTAATTCTTCTACATGAATTCTTTAATTCTCCTACAATTTCTAATCTACGTACTTGTTACATCAGATATGAATTCAGTTAGATATATCATGTTCACACCTTCTAGACTCTCAGTCCCTCTGAAAATTATAATGCTGGCCCCCTGTGGGAAAAGGGGGAAGATAACGAGATTAAAATAAATAAAAAACTCCCTTCAATTAGTGGAATACTAAATTCATATAAGTTCACGCTATCCAAAATCATCGAACAAAATGTAGGACAACAACAATTACAAGATGAATTGTTTACCAATAACAAAGAGGAAAAAAAGGTGGAGAGGTACACTTCAGATTGCCTACTCCTTTGCTCTTCTGTCTACACGAATGGATCTTGATTTTCTAATTGTTATGAATAAATTAAGCATGACTCGTATACAATCCAAATATATTAAATAATTTGACTTTTACAATAATGAAGATAGCTATTGAAAGATTACCGATGACAGTTAATATAAGATGGAGTATCCAATGGAGAATCCAAGAGGGCAATTTTAATGCATTTATTTAACTCTCGCGTAATGCACATACACAGAGAAATTCGAGTTTGGTCTGAAGTATCTTGAATCCTTGATCAGACCTTTGAAAAAGAATTCGTAACACTTAACTTTGTTTCAATTATGCATTCCAATGCATCCGCTTTCCCCTCGCTTCTCCCCACGACCAACTTAGTTTCCAATAACAAAAATGTGACATCCATGTTGAAAGGAAAACTTGATTATACGTAAAGGAGGTAATCTTTTAATTACCTACACCAAATAGATGAATCCATGAGCCTAATGTTTCAAGTCCAGTACTCCAACAAACCAAATTATCGCAATTGGACGTAAAGTTCTCTTGCATACCTCGATTTGGATGCTCAACTGCATGCAAAGTATATCCTTATAATATTCACTATCCTTATTTTTGTTACCGTCTACTAAACAGATGCTTGCATTTCTACATGAACAAGTCTTTATTTCTGTTAACATATTGGTATAGTTAAGGGACTTATTTGTAAGATGTATTTGTAGGGCCTATATAAGCCCATATTATCTCATCTATGGAATTAGGGTTTCATATATTTTCTACATGGTATCAGAGCCTCCACCCAAACCCTAGTCGCCGCCCCCCCTCCCCTGGCTGCGCCCCCCCTTTCGGCTGTCGCCCAACGGGTGACTCCCGAAACCCCGCGAGAACCCCCCCCCTCTAAGCACGCCCCCTCGCTGCCCGCCCCCCACGACGCCCCCGGCTCCGCACCCCCCTCACAGCCGCCCTTCAGCCCCCATGTCTCGCACGGCCCCCCAACCCGCCAAACCCTAACCCTATGATTTGTAGCTTGGATACCCTCAACATCTCAGTCATAGAACTGATGAGAGGAGCTTGTTCGATTCCCTCGATATTTCAGTACTAGAACTGATGAGAGGAAGAGTGTATATCTCACGATGTTGAGATATATCATTGTCGATTCTTGTTTCCTTTGAGAAACAAGAATTTAGTTGAAATCTTACTCTTGTTGTGCAGCAGAAGTGCTGCCGAAATTTTTCACTGCACACAACAAGAGTTAGAAGAGAAGGAGGACAGGTGCTTGATCTAGAGCCTGATCGATGGAGGAGATCATCAAGAAGTTGAACCCCGCGAAGGTCTCAACTTTGATGCAGTTGATAAAGTTGTCAGCTGGTGAGCGCGCGACAAGACCACCGACGAAGTTAGAACTTCCACCCATCAATCTGAAGCTCGATGGACTACTTACCTGAGCTGGTCACAGCGAGTAAGATACACCCTTACGGGGAGGAACCTGGAGGGATATTTAATAGGAGAGAAGACAGAGCCGGCTGAGGGCTCGGCAGGGAGAGATGAGTAGAAATCCACTCATATGTTGGTGTACATCTGGCTCCTCAACTCATTGGTCCAGTCGGTCGCCGCCACAGTGGATGGCATTGAGAAGGTGAAGGATGTCTGGGAGAAGTTGAGGAGGACCTATGATGGAGTAGGGAATAACCTGAGGGTGTTTCAGATCAAGGGAGAGATCGACGCCACAGTCCAGGGAGAAAAAACTGTACAGGAGTATGCTACAAAGTTGAAGCGCCTATGACTAGATTATGATCACTTCTCACATCGGGCGAGCTGTAAGGACCCAGAGTGTAAAGAGCGAGAGGTTTTTTTACAGGAGAGGACTATGGTGTTTCTCAAGGGGCTGACATCGGAATTTGCTCAGCGAATTGCGTTACTGCTAGCTCAGACAAAAATTCCCACACTTGAGGAGGCAGTCTCAGCCATGATCCAGGAGGAGACTCGCATTAAACTGCATGCGAGGACAGGTGGACTTCCTGTGGTGAAGTCAACACTGGCGGCCTCCAACTCTGGTAACACTGGACTCAAGGGGGTGACTCGACAATGCTACAACTGCGGTGAAGTGGGTCATCTAAGGCATGCTTGTACCAAGCCACCCAAGAAAGGAGATTCGGGTGGACGTAGACAGTTCGGAGGTCGTGGTCGTGACCGTAGGGGTCGACGAGGTGGAAGAGGAGCAGGCAACCGGGCGAATCTGATGATCGCAGAGGGAGAGGAAGCAGCTGAGGTGGTCTTTACTGATGAGGATCATGCTCTCCTGAAGATACTCAGGAGGAAACAGAGAGTAGCAGGAGATGGAGACAGGAGGAGTGGGATTGAGGAGACATCCACTTCATTCTTCGCCAGAGACAACACTGCTACTTATGCTCATCCGATCAAAGGTACTGATGACATACATGCTCTTGCTTCTATGTCTACCGATAGATCATCAGAATGGATAGTCGACTCCGATGTGTCTCGACATATAATAGATAATGCTAGTGAGTTCTCATCATATACTCACTTAGCATCAGCTGATAGTATCCAAACAGCTGATGGTACTTTTCAGCCAGTGGTTGGTAAGGGTATAGTCAATTGTACAGGTTCTGTAACTTTGTCCAATGTTTTGCATACTCCTTCCTTTCTAGTCAATCTTTTGTCCATTAGTGCTATCATACTTCAACTAAAATACATTGTTTCTTTTGACATTCCTAAGGTGATCTTCCAGGAGAAGGGGACGGGGTGGAGACTTGGGACTGGCACATGACGTAGTGAACTGTGGTACCTAGATCGTGAAGGGCTGGACTCAGCATTGGTATCTATGGTAGAGAGAGCAGGAGTAGGATCTGAGATGAGTGTTGAGAATATGTTGATGCTTCATCACCAGCGTTTGGGACACTCATCCTTTAGTGTTTTAAGTAGGTTGTATCCATCTCTATTTGAGAAAGCAAATAAGCAGAACCTTGTGTGTGATGCATGTGAGTTTAGAAAGCTTACTAGAAGTTCTTATGTAAGTTCTGATCATAGGAGTTCTCGTGCATTTGACCTGATACATTCAGATGTTTGTGGGCCTTGTTCCACAAGTTCTATGAATGGATACAAGTATTTTGTTACCTTTATTGATTGTTTCTCTCACATTACTGTTGCGCGCAGCGGAAATTTCGGCAGCACTTCGACAGCACAACAAGAGAGTCAGATCGCAATAAGAAGCGCGCAGCGGAAATTTCGGCAGCACTTCGACAGCACAACAAGAGAGTCAGATCGCAATAAGAATTCCCATCTTATCAAGGAAACAAGAATCTGAAGCGAATATCTCAACAAAGTGAGATATCGGCTCTTCCTCTCATCAGTTCTAGGACTGACATGTCGAGGGATCCTAAAAGCTATTACAAATCACACAAATAAAAGTACAACCAATTTTTACGTGGTTCGACAAATTGCCTACGTCCACGGGGCAAGGAGGGGGGAGATCTACTATTAGAAGGAGAGAATACAACTAGGGTTTACAATCACTCAATCTAAACTCTCACACAATCTCTCAAAGCTCTCACAAAACTCTCTCACAGGGATGCACAAAACCCTAAAATGGATTGCTCAAAATCCCCTAGCCGCTGCCTGCGCTTTTCTTCTGCAACCGCAAAATCAAAGTTTTTCTCCTGCTGCAATTTTCTCTCAAAGCCGCAAATCAAACAAATCAACCTCCTGCCTTTGCTCAAAACCCTAGGAGAGAACTAGGTACCTTTTATAGGCTGGTGTACTTCACGCGTTAAACAAAACCGACTCAAAACCCTAGGAGAGAACTAGGTACCTTTTATAGGCTGGTGTACTTCACGCGTTAAACAAAACCGACTCAGTTTTGTTCTCTGCTTCGTACGCGAAGATGTCACGTGGGTGGGGGCCCACGTCCGCTCATAATTCTCCACTTCGGTGAAGTTTTCCCAAAACTGAGCTGACACCAAAGCAACCAAATGTCCCACTTGTTGTGTCCAGTACGAACTCAATCCATAACAAGTCGAGAACCCGAACGAGGGTCAAAACAATCTCACCTCCCATCAAATAATCCAAAACCGCCTGCATCTGAAAGACTGCCTACGTATCCTCTTGCCCAAGGAATCAAGCCGAACGTAGTTCACCCAAATGGTCGCCAACGACCTCAACAATCACGAATGTGTAACAAGTTTCGACAATGATCAAACTTGATGCTCGGAACCACCTTAGTGAGCATATCCATCGGATTATCCTTCGTGTGGACTTTCACAATCTCCACATCGCCATCTTCAAGAACATCTCGAACGAAGTGATAACGAACGTCAATGTGCTTCGTCCGCACATGAAAAACCTGATTCTTTACCAAATAGATAGCACTCATGCTATCACAATGAATAGTGACGGACCTCTGCGATATACCAAGTTCCTCCAAAAGTCCTCGAAGCCAA